GTCGATGTGCTCGACAAAATCTTATAAAGTACCATCAGGTGCCGCGAGCATTGCAAGCCGATGCAGCTGAATTTGTTCCTGGTGGGATGCCATTTCTACCACCGCGCACAATCCAACCTCAACAGTACCAGTATTCACAAATGCCTTATCACTACGGTACTCCACCAAGTTTCATGGCAAGCTATCCGAGCCGTAATGGTCCAAACTTGATCATAAGCTGTTTTGACTCATTAGTCTCAAATAGTCAGGGCGTAGGCCACATGGTCGCCTCATGGGGGGGCAGCACCTACGCAGTACCTTGCCCCATCTCAATTCCATTCTCATTTGCACATGTATGTACCAAAACCTCGATTCTACTTCTCAGCTGCTCGCTTTCAGGATGACGACACATATGGATCTTGGTGTAGAAACGTCAATTGTCGACAACTGCCGTAACACGGCAGATGGTAACGATGATGACGATGATGATGATGATAATGATGATGATGAGATTCCAAGCTCCCAAGTATTGACCTCTTTTCGCTCACTAATTGAAATTTGAAAACTAACCTGGCAGGATGCAATAGAACTGATGTCCAGCAATCAACCTCTACCAACTGATGCAACAATCGTCTCGATTGCACCGCAGGACGATGACTTTGAGGATTCCGCTGATGTTGTCGAGGGGTCACATCAGATGATCGACTGTTCCATAACACAGGCTCAACCTTGCATTACCAGTAAGAGCGCAGAATCAAACGCGACTAACGAGACCGCGCCCATGGGGCTAGAGTCAGACCATGGTACCACGAATCTGAAAGATGCACAAGGTGAGTGCCCGTCAACAGCCGAAAGTTTGGCTGCGCCCGACCTCAAGATGCCTGCTGCCATAAATACTCAAACTCTCTCTAATTCGGCCCCAGTCTTGCCTCGAAGTGAATCATCAGACGTCGTCCCCGCAAAAAAAAACAAGGCTGCATTCAAGAAACGTGCTGCTGAATTTGATAAGAAGCAAGGGCGTACATTAGACGCGTTTGCAGCACCAAAAGATAGGCCGTCGGAAGTAGACGTTGTGCACAACGCAGGTCCACAAGATCTAATTATAGATTCCTGGGAAGATGTGGGCGCAGTGGCATCGTCAACGCCATCACCGATGTCATCAGCTTCAATGGACGTTTCAGGCACGTCTTTAGCACCGATAGAGCGTCGTGTGTATGCGAAGGAACGACTCTTGGAATTGCGTTCGATGTGCTACGAAGCAGGATCTGCGCCAAACGCTGCTTTGCCCAGTTTCATAGTAGAGAAGTCTACGTCTTGTGATCCACGTGCAGGGAGGCGCCTCGGACCAGGCGGAGCTACACGCAGCAGTGGAGCAGGCGCGGGCGGTGGAGGGTCAGGTGGTGGACGATATGGTGGATCGATGGACGACCCACGACGTGATCAGAGCCTACGCCACAATGGCGATGGGCGCGCACGCCACC